ATTATCACCCTAGATCCAGAAGCATATTTCAGCTAAATACGAAACAAACAAACCTAACAAGTAAAAAATGCCCCCAAAATGGCTGGGCTGTTACTGGAAACTTGAGACAATTTCAAGCATGGATGTTTGTGTGTCCAACTCTGTCTGGCATATGTAATGAGCACATCTTTGGATAGATGGTCTACAAAGACAGAGGGCAACATTTCCAACCATCCTGAGGGAGAGTTCATTTCTCCTCCCCATAAATATGAGCTGACCTTATGGCTTGCTTCTGCCCATGACTGCAGAAGTAGCCCTATGTGATTAGTACATGTGGAGATTTTTTTTTTTAAACAGGTTCTCGCTAAACTGCCCAGGGTGACCTTGAATTTACCATCCTCTTGCCTTAGCCTCCTGAGTAGCTGGGATTTCAGGTGTGCACCACTGAGGAAGTTTTTAACTTTTTATTTTTCCTCTGAAGATGTGATCATCTTTGTGTATGAAGTAAACTAACACTAGATTAACAGGAAAAAAACCAAACATAACAAATTTTATTCTGTGCCATGGAAGCCACACATACAATATGAGACTCAAAAGTGGGCTAGATAGTTGCAGTTGTAGCATTTTAAGCTACTGAAAGAAATAGGGATGTGCACCTGCTGGGAGGTGGGGGTGGGAAGAAGCTATGGGAGCTGAATGGAAGCTTGCAAGGTGCACAAAGGGTGTCTCCCAGGTAACAGTCATCAGAGGACCATCATCTCTGCCTGGACAAGGTGTGAGACCCCAATTTCTTCTTCCTGTGAAAATATCATTCCTGGGCAGATAGGAAGACATCAAAGAGAAAAGTGTTAGCCTGCATCTGTATTTAACATGGACAGATGTAAATTTCTTTTCACAAACAAAAAGCTTTTCAGAGGCATTCCTACATCTGCAGAGGACTGCAGTTTCTTTGAATAACCAATTCAAAATATGCCAAAGAAATATATTTGTGGTGGGATATTTTGATCTCCCTCTCAAGAAAGTCCTGTATTTGCCCTCTTAGAAGACAGCCACCATGTAAAGAAGGTTGGGCTAAACTACTGAAGGATGAGAGACCCTGGGGAGAAAGAGTAAAAGGAGAACAGGGACAAGAGAGACACTTCCCAGGGGAAACCCAGAACCCCAGACCATGGCCATTACTGAGGCCCCAACCTGTGAGTGAGGCCATTTTGGATCCTCCAGCCCCCAATAGCTTCTCCAATGGACATCACAAGAGAGACAGTCAGATGCCTATACTAATAAGCTGTGGGGCCCTACCTGCATCCCTGACCCACAGGATCTGAAAAAAATAAAACAGTGGTGGTTTTAAGCCCACTTAAGCTTTGGGCTAGTGTGTCTCACAAGAATAGATGATTCATCTGTAAACTGCATGCTTCACCTCACCGGTGAGGAGTTGTGAAAATGGGGGATTCTGCAGAGAAAGTGTGTAATGCTATGCCAGTACCTGCGAGGAACTGCAATTATTGTATTCAAACGGAGGCTTGATGACCAGCCAGAGAGGCTAAAAACGGAGGCTGTCCTTGCAGGTGGACAATGTTCCTCACATCCTCTGGGGCAGTTTTCTAGCCACATACTCAGGAGTTGCTGAACATTTGAGCACACTTCCTGGTCCTCCTTGCTCCTGCTCTGAGCTCATTCTCAGAATAGAAAACAGTGTCTTTGGTGGGGAAGTCCCACCTCCTTCTATGGAGGTCCCTCCTGCAGGACTGTGCTGTAGGAGCAGCTCCAGAGAGTTTGTTGTTGCCCTGCTTGGGATGGAACCCAGGGCTCACAGCTGCTAGGGAAATGCTCTGCCTCTGAGCTCTGCCCCAGCCTATCCTGGACAGTGCTTAGTACAGTCTTCCAGAGTGACTCCCCTGCCATCTGTGAGGGACAAAGCTCCTAATTTGACCTCATGGCTAAATTGGAGCAGTAGGCATTTTAAAGGGATATGAATGGGCCACACAGAGACCAGGAGGGAAGATGGCAGCAGAGGACACAGGGTGCTCCTAATAGCAGTGACTGACTGGAGCAGATGGGAGGCTCCAAGTTCCCTCCAGGGAAGACACACAGGACGACTGCTCTGCACACTGATCAGGATTCTTTTATGGCGTCTGTGGAGGGTGCTGGGTTTCTGTGGAAAGTAATGAGTCCTTATACTAAAACTCCATTGTTTTGCAGTTACTATCTGGTTAATTTTATGTGTCAACTTGCCTGGGACACAGGATGCCCAGGTATCTGGTTAAACAATATTTCTGGGTGTGTCTCCTTAGTGTGGGTGAGCATCATCAAACCATTGAGGGACTGAATAAAACAAAAAGAAGGAGGTGCCAGTCACGGTGGCCCACACCTGTAGTCCCAGGCCTTAGGGAGGCTAAGGTGAGAGGATCAATTGAACCCAAGAGTTCAAGATCAGCCTAAGCAACAACAGAGATGCTGTCTGGAAAAACCAAAAAATCGAGATGTCTTCTTCTTTATCCTCTCTCTCCCCACCCCCAACACTGAAGCTGATCTTGCATGGCCCTTGGACTGAGGTCTACATCATTGGTACTCCTGGTTCTCAGGCCTCCCTACCATGTGAACCATTCCTTATAAGAAATCTCATTATAAGTAATCTCACTATATATACTTGCATATATATATATATATATATATATATATATACATATACATACATACATATATATGCTATATATCCTATATCTACTTACATCTGTTTCTCTGGAGAACCTAATTTATAGTTACCCTTTCTCCTTCCTCTCCTCAATCCGAGCAGTTGGGAGGGGCACTGCAGACACCCCATCTCCTAAATAACCACCACCCACTCCAAATCAATGTGCAATCTACAGGAAACCAAGATGTATGCCCTGCAAATGAGCTTCCAGGCAAATGCTCTTAGAGCTGGCTGCCCCAGATCACTTCCTACACTGGAAATTCTGCAGCTGCCACAAAAGACACACTGAGTTTCTTTTGAACTTTGTTATTCTTTTTTCTTATTGGTCCCCTGCGTCACACTAAATTCCCGCCCAGGGTCCAATGGCTCATTCATAGTAGCCCATTCCTTTTCTCTCCTAACCTCTTCAGCATGCTAAGGACTCTGCCCTTTAGGGATTCAGGAACTGATTCCTATCCAGCCCAAGATCTTCCATATTCCATCTCTTTTTCATCACTAGGACAGTCACAGTGATGCAACAGCCACTGTGTTGGTGACCACAGCACACTGCCCCCCCACTCTCATGTGAGAGCTTTTTTGTCCATGGTCCCTCCCAGCTGCACCCCTCCCCCACACACTCCCACTCCAGGTCCTTTGAGATGTGCTCCAAACATCTGTCACATCCCAGTGCACTCTGTGTGTTATGTAATTGGAAAACTTTATAAATAGCATTTAGTGAGCACAGGCAAGTCTGAGCAGGTCTTTGCCTAAGAGGATTTAGTTATAAAATACCTAAAGGACTTCTTTATCATGTAAATTCAACCTTTGTCATGTAAATCCCATTATATGGTCCCTGAGAGTGGAATGAGAGCAATACTAACTTACTTACTATTTAATTATGCTCCCTTTTCACCATTGACCCCTGGGATGTAAGGATTTCTGGACCAAAAAAAAAAAAAAGCTTTTACTTTATTTCTGACATTCCAAAGCACCTTTGCACCCTAGGAGGACTAGATGCTGACTTGAGAATGACAATACAAATATGAAAACATCCTAAACCAGAATAGATTTAAAAAGACAAGGAGTTCTCTGTGCAGTCCTACTAAGATCCCTATTCTGTCTTTTGTTTTGTTTTCATCCATTATAAATTTGATTACAGATGGTAACCAACTTCTTTATAAGGCAGTATGCAAATTTTTCTATTATTCTTAAATGGAACAGATCAGAACAAAGAAATGCTAATATTTGAATTTGTGAATTACTGTCAATCCGATAAAACAGGAAGTGTGACTACAAGACTTAGACACTATTATTTATGAAGTAGGATCTTTTCTCTATTATAAAAAATATTATTGAGTGCCTATTCAACCAGCAGCAAAATTGCTACACAAATATTGTCACGAATAATAATTTTAGTGGTGACAATTATATTTAGGAAGAGCTGCTCCCAGTGTACACAGGACTTTATATCATCTAATTTGCCCAACAATCCTGTTTAGCAGATGAAAGCAGAATCTCTGAGTCTTCCCCTTGGGGTCACAAAGCATTAAGTCACACAGGATCTGAACTGATTTCTTTTGACCCCAACTTCCATGTTCTCCTACAGTTGCATTGAAAGGAGAGAAGATGAAATATCCTCAGTTTACAAAACACTTTGTAGGGTTCGTCATTTAAGTCACATACATTTCCCATCTTTGGCTTGCAAGCAATTATGCAATCCATTAAAGTGATCACTGTTGGAAAGGAGTTATTCACAATTTCCTTTCTTCACTTCTTAGTTCAAATGTGTTTCAGAATCCTCCCCCGCCCCATGATCTCCAGCTTGCAGCCGTGAGGTAATGACTCCTCTACATCGTCTTTGCTTGTAGGGGACCTGCTCTGCGTGACATTTCTAGCTACCTACCCCACTCACTTGAACTCGAATTCTGTTGATTCGCAGCAAGATGTAAAGGGATAAGCTCTTCCCCAAGGATTACTTCCTACTCCTCAGAGTTGTTGAGGTTACTGGGGCAGACCGCCCCCCCCCCCCCCCCCGCACCTCGAACCATTATTCTCTAAGGTATTAATATGGCGAGTAAATGGCAAATTTACCATGTGAATTGTTTTCACTCTGTCGCGGGTCAGCACTACAGAGGTAGTGGACCAAGGTGGCCTCGGTAACGCACGACCTGATGGAACGCAGGTTAGAAAGGGGGAGGCGACCCTGAATGCCGACACTTGTCCTGTTCGGGCGGGGAGTCCTCCGTGTCGCCGCAGGCTCGCCACTCACCTACCTGTGGCTTCACCGGCGACCGAGACTCTCAGCCCCTCCTACCTTTCCTCTAACGTTAACGCTGGCATCACCGCTCACCTTTTAACACACAGGAGAAAAGAAAGTCACCCACAAGCGGAAAATCAGCGAGGAGACCTAAGAGCGGAGTCCCGAAACGGGGTCCGCGGAGAGGACGGGGCTCGGCGACAGCTCGGCGGGACTGCCTGCCCGCGCAGGGAGCACCCGGTCAGAACCCGGTCTCTAATCCCCCGCCAGGTCTTTCCGCGCTGGCCGGGAGGGCGTGGGGTCCGGCCGGGGTGCTGAGGAGTGAAAGGATGGAGTTCCCGTGACTTTGCCTGTGGCGCAAAGTGGCGGCTGTGCTGGGAAAATGCGGAGAAGCGGCTTCGGGCTCAGGGAAGGCGGGTTCGGGGAAATTAAAAATGCGAAGCCGAAGGCAGTGGGCGCTGAGTCGTCAGGAACCCGACTACAGCGGGCCCGGAGAGCACGCCAGAGACCCGGGACCCGGGCGGCGACGAGAACGCGGCCCGCGAGCCCAGCGCGCCGCCCCGCACCTGCAGGCGGACGCTGGCACCTGACGCCCCTTCCCTTCCCGAAGGAACGCAGCCACTGAAGCCCGGGGACACCAGATTGGCCAAAGTGCCCCTGGGCGGAGGCAGCCGCCGCAGACGCTCTGCGATGCCCTCGGTTCCCTCGGGTCTGGAATCCGCGCCACCTCCACCGCGCTCGGGTCACTGCCGCCCCCGTGGCCGACAAGCCCCTGGCTCGACTGCGGAAGCCACGTCCCCTAACAGCCAAGAACGGGCTGAGCCGAGGCCGCCTGAGGTCCAGCCAGGCCTACCTGGGGCCTTTGGGGAAGGGGCGCTCTCCCGGAAGGCTTCCAGGAGGACCGCAGCACAAATAACGGAACTAAGACCCCCGCTTGTCCAAATTGAGCATTTAATTTCGGCCTCCTTTGTCCTTTCCATAATGATCCTTTTCTGACGATTCACGTGTCACTTCCCCCTCTGCTATCTCATTAAGCGACACCGCTTTGGCTGTGACCCTCCTCGTCCCTAGAACAACCTGTGAGGACTCCTGAAGGACACAGCTAGGTCCAAAGCTATCGCATCTCGCACAGGTGACCTTTCTTTCAGGCTTGTCTTTCCAGCCCCTCCACCTGCCCCCAGAACTGCATACCGTCCAGACTCCTCACTGCCGCCTGAACCCAGCAGGTAGCTTGAAGACCTCAGAGAAGTTGGTAGCTGCCTGGCGTTCGCTACCCCTCCTGCTGCAAACCCAGTCGGCTCGGCTATTTTGCAGCTCACAGAATCTCCCTTCCCACCAAAACCCAAAAAGAGAATAAACATTTAAGAGTTCCAGTTTCATTTTAATGTTTTTCTATTCTTTTCTTGCTCTCCCGGCATCACGCTGCACAAAATCTTACCGGAGGCCTTTGCGGGGTCTGGCTTGTGTGCAAGTGTCCTGTTAGGCTGGTCCCTTCTTCTGTTCTCCCTCTCCACTGCAGTAGGATCTGCTCAGTGGATCATGTCAGCTCCTGCTCCCCTCCCACCCAGGACAGGAAAGGACACATGCTGGTTTTCCTTAGCAGTGGAGGCAGACTGTGGTCTTCCAAAAGGATTTTGACTCTGGAAAACCATTTAAGAAAAAAATGTGAAACTTTCTTTTAAAAGTTAATCCTGGAATTTCCTTCCTCCATCTGCTCTCCTGCAGGTGCAAGTATGACTCCAAGAAGCCCTCTAATCCTTGGGTTGCTTTCTTCTTCAACAAAGCCTTTTCTCTGAGGGGTCTCAGCTAGAGCCTGGTAGGCATCATTTCTGTGAGATGATCTCCAGTCAAATGTGCGCCAAACTGGAGACGGCTAGCTTTAAGAGTTACCTGTTTTATATAGATAAGCCTTTGATATCGTCAATCTATGGAAGGCACAGCTAGGCTCCTCAGGGTTATAAATTTTCTTAGAGTGACATCATGTGGTGAGGTAAGGACCACCCCACTTGTCTTTCAAGAGCCCATGTATTTTGAAGAAGACGAAAGAGGTGGGAGGTGGAAAGGGAGATGTCAAAAGGATGAACCCAAGTCAGAATTATGCATTTCTTTCTGGCTGTACCTTTCATGTAGTTCAGAAGCCCCTGAGAAGGCTTATCCCAGCCGCCTGGGAGCCTGTGACAAGTTGGGGAGGCTCTGCCGTTCTCAGGGAGGAGCCACTCACACAAGAAGAAAGGGCACCAGATCACTAGGGCTTTCACTGCTGGCCCTTGAGAAACCAATCAGATGTTCCATTACAGATCGAATGCTTGTAAAGTTCAAGACAAATATGCATTTACAAAGGGTTGTCTGATCTCTAAGGTGCTATGTACACTGGGTTCTTAATTACTCTCTTGGACTAAAGACAGAAAGCAACCTTTTCCAAAGTGCAGCCTAGGAATCAGTAGATGTTAGGTGATTCCAAGGGTTCCATGGTCAAACAGATACAGATTAATCTTGGGATTTAGAAAACATTAAGGAAGTTCCATGAGGGCCCCCTATGGTGTTAGAATGCTCGCACTCCTTAACTGTATCAAAGTCAATATCCTACCTGATATTGCAGTATAGCTTTGCAAGATGGTACCACTGCAAGAAACTGGGTAAAGGGTAAATGGAATGACTGTTATTATTACTTAAATTATATATAATGCACATGTATGTATTTTATATATAGTATTTTATTCATATGTGAATCTAATTATCTTAAAACTTTAAAAATTTTATTTTTTTAAATTAAAAAGTTTAAATTTAAAAGTTTTATTTATTTTTTAAAATTAAACAATTTACAGTATTTCTTTGTGTGTGTGTGTGTGTGTGTGTGTTTTTGTGGGGGGATACCAAGGGTTGAACCTAGGGGTGCTTACCAATGAGTCACTTCCCCAGCCTTTTTTTTTTTGAGACAGGATCTTGCTAAATTCCTTCAGCTTCACTAAGTTGCTGGCTTTGAACTTATGATCCTCCTGCCTTAGATCCCCAAGTCTCTGGGATACAGGCATGTGCCACCACATCCAGTTTCCAGTAGCATTTTTTAAAGAAGCTAATAAACTGTGCAGATTTTTCATTTCCAAGAGGGAGAATGTTACAGTAGTTGGAGCCAGCCTCCAAGGTAACGCAGATGGTCTTTTCCTCCTACTCGTATAGGCAACCCTCCACTGAATCAGGAATAACCAGTGTGACTAAGAGAAAACAGCAGCATCTGACCCCTGAGGACAGGTGAAAAAGATACTAAGGCAGCCATGTGGGCCTCTTGAAGACATATGATGCTGTGGGCTAGTATTTCAACTGGAGTTTTCACCTAGATCATACATGTAATTCGTCTATGACTTTTTCTTTTCATATTGTCCTGTCTTGGTCCCAACATTGTATTAGCCTTATAAACTTGGCTGGGCATCCTCCCCTTTCTTTTATACTCCAAAATGCTTTCAAATAAGATAACTGCTCTTGAAAGTTTTATAAGACCCTCTCTGTAAAATCATCTGACCTGATATCTCTTTTGAAGGGCTAAGGAATATGCCAGACTATACTGATTAATACTTGAATTTCTGTCATGGTTATTGATTTTTTTTAATTTAATTAATTTTTTATTATATATGACAGTGAAAGCATTACAATTCTTATTACACATATAGAGCACATTTTTTCATATATAAAAGTATATTCACACCAATTCGTGTCTTCATACGTGTACTTTGGATAATAATGTCCATCACATTCCACCATCATTTCTAATTCCATGCCCCCTCCCTTCCCTTCCCACCCCTCTGCCCTATCTAGAGTTTGTCTATTCCTCCCACGTTCCCCCTCCCTACCCCACTATGAATCAGCCTCCTTATATCATTCAGTATTTGTTTTTTGGGGATTGGCTAACTTTACTTGGCATTATCTTCTCTAATTCCATCCATTTACCTGCAAATGCCATGATTTTATTCTTTTTTATTGCTGAGTAATATTTCATCGTGTTTATATGCCACATTTTTTAATCCATTCATCTATTGAAAAGCATCTAGATTGGTTCCACAGTTTAGCTATTGTGAATTGTGCTGCTAAAAACATTGCTGTGGCTGTGTCCCTGTAGTATGCTGTTTTTAAGTCCTTTGGGTATAGACCAAGGAGAGGAATAGCTGGGTCAAATGGTGGGTCCATTCCCAATTTTCCAAGAAATCTTCATACTGCTTTCCATATTGGCTGCACCAATTAAAATAAAGTTGATCACACAGTGAAGATAGTAAGAAACCATGAACAGAAAATACAAGAATTATGGTTATTGATTTTATTAGAATTTCTTTGAAGTTTTGGATCAGTTTTGAAGTTCATTTTTTATGAAAAAATAAATACATTTTATCAAAGTTTAAAATGTTTACAGGTGGTTTTAAAAATCCCTACTTCATAATCAGGTGTTGTGGCTCCTAGTCATAATCCCAGTGAATTGGGTACTGGGGAGATGAGGCAAGTAACTTAGTGACAGCCTGTCCCAAAATAAAAAATAAAGAGGGCTGGGGGTTCAGTGATTCAGTCCTTGCCTAGCATGCCCAAGGCCCTGGGTTCAATCCCTGTATTACAAAGAAAATAAAACAAAACAAAACCCCATCAAATCTACAGTTATTCTACAGTTATTCTCTTTTTTGTTGCTGTTGTTCCAAATATTTTTCATGTGTGAATGTCTCTATTCTCTTATTATTTTCATATCTTAGCCCCAAACCCCTCCTATTCTTTTTTTAAATTACTTTCTTCTGCTTTTTTTTTTTTTAAGTCTTATTCTTTTGGTAACTTCTTGAGTTGAATGCTTTATTTACTATTTTTCAATATTCCTTCTTCAAAAAACACATTTAAGCCTATAAAAGGCATTTCTAAGCAATGTTTTTGCTGTGCCCTACAAACTTTGATATATAATACATTTATTATCATTCTGTTCTTAAATATGCTGTAATTCCTATTGTGATATCTGTTAAAATCAATCCATAAATTATTCAGGAGTCCATTTTAGAATTTCCAAAGGTGTATGAATGTTATTTGATTAGTACTTAATGTGCTTTGCTATTTTTTTTTCATTGTTGATTATTGAATTCGTATCTCATTTCAATGTGGCCAGAGAATGAATATGGTGTTTGTTATATTCGGTTTTTTGGCCTTTGATTTTTCAGATTTTTTCTTTTTCTTTACACAGTTCTTTTTTTTATTTAGACAGGCTCTCATAAAGTTGCCCAGGTTGACCTTAAATTTGTGATCACCCTGCCTGAGAAGTTGGGATGACAAGCATAGGCCACCAAACACAGCTTTTCAGAGTTCCATCAATTTTTAAGTTTTTTTTTTTATATTTAGTTTTTAGTTGTACACAATAGTTTAATTTTGTTTATTTTATGTGGTGCTGAGGATCGAACCCATGGCCTCAAATGTGCTAGGCAAGCACTCTACCACTGAGCCACAATCCCAGCCTGAGGTTTTTTTAAAATAATTGACATCATCTGTTAATTTTATTTCTTATCTTTATATACTTTTTTTAAAAAATCAGTATCTCGTTGAGTGTCTCCCCAGATGATTATAGGATTA